AATTATATAACGGCAAAAATATTTTACTATATTAGCCAACGCGCCGAACTAAGGATGGTATTCTAAAAATTATAGAGCGAATTACCAGTCTATAATAAGATTATATAAACTACTATTATAATTAAAGCTATTAATCTAATTGTTGAAAATTATAGTTAAATTATTAATAAGCGGCGGGGACTCTATATTAATATTGGTTATATTGTTATATAGTAAGCGTAATTTAACAAAAGTAGAATAAAGAAAGTAATAAATAGCAATTAATTTAATAAAATTATTATATAACGGAGATTATAGTAGAATTAAATAATATAAGGATAAGGTAGAATATAGTAAGGTTATTAAAGTAAAAAAGAGAGTCTAAAAGTAACTAAATATCTCTAACTCTTTCAAAAATTATATATATACGTACTAAAACTCTTCCTTTACTAATACTTACCTACCGGGGCCGTTTGCTATATATAATTGTAAATACTACTACCTTTATATAACCGTACGTACTTATCTAATGTTACGAACTTAAGGCAAGCACACGGGCCAACCAGACCATCGGTAGCACAAGCAACCCAGAAAGGCTAGCTCGTGTAACCACGGGCCAGGGCAGGGTCAAGAAAGGCGTCGGAGACAGGGCTCACGATGGTGAGCCAACGCCGGGCTCACGGAGTGAGCCAGCATCATGATAATACAAGTGAGCCAGCTATAGAATGAACGATACGGGAAGTATAAAGGGACGACTGGAGAACTCAGATTGTCAGATAGTTCGACAGTAGTCAATACAACTTAATTATCATCATTGAGACTAGTATTACGAGCGTACTTGTTGTAAACCCTTTAGCTTCACCGAACGACTCTAATAGTTCTTACCTTTAGCTATCTCATTTAGGCAGATCAGACTGCCGTTCGTCACATCTAATTAGGATGAAAAAATATTTAATTGAAATTATAAATAATATATAATATATTATTCTATATACTACTAATAATAGATTTACCTTACTTAAATAAATTTTTAAGTACAACTCTAGAAATTCTAATAGAAAATATTGGAAATATAATTGTTTATAAAAATATATAATAAGGAAATAATAGATAAAATTTAAAATAAAAGAAAAATACTCAAATTATTATAGTTTCTAGTAACCTTCCTATGACGAACGGGTTACAGATCTGCTTAAGTAAGATAGCTGAAGGTAAAGAACTATTAGAGTTGTTCGGTAAAGCCAAAGGGTTTACAATAAGTATGCTCGTAATACTAGTCTCAAATGATAATAATCAAATTGTATTGACTACTGTCGAACTATCTGACAATTTGAGTTCTCTAGTCGTCCCTTTATATTGTATTGTGAACTGTGGTTCCCGTCGTTGGGCTTAGCTCACTGTCCGGGCTCGACTCGTGAGCCTGGCTCGAAGGTGAGCCTGCGTCTGCCCCTGGGCTCTTGTCCCTGTTATGGTTATACTGGCCCAGCCTTTACGTGGCTGTCGTGCACCGGTGGCTTGGTTGGCCCGTGTCCTCGCTTGTTAGTTCGTAGCACACGGGGGGAAAAAAGTGAAACTTGACTATGTTTTTTTATACCTTCAAAGTTCTAGTGGAGGGTAGTAAAGTATATTATATTTTTTCTCATTTTTTACTCTATTTACTATAGCCTGTTCAAGAGCTGTAGGTGTTTAATAACTCAAGAAAATACAAGAGAAAGAAGGTATATTATTAAAAATAATAAAAAGAATTTTTAATACAAAAATCTAGAAAAGTAAGATATAGGTTATATCTCGGGCTATGAAACTAAAACCTAAACCCAGAAATCCGCAAAAAATCAATGAGTAATTTGGTGCCACCCCCAGCCTCATACAGCAAGGTCTGACCAAGTTATATTTAGAAAAGCAAAAGTGGATCCCCGTGCGAATAGAGGTTCTCTTTAATAGTAGTTGAACTTAAATACTTTCATTTTATCTCAAGTTCTTCTTAAGTAACAAGATATATCAGGTATCTAAATAATAATAATTAAATTCTTCAGTTTTCATATCTTCCATGTCATCCATTCTCAATTTTCCAGGCCACGTTTACTTTCTTTGTTCACATTATCTTCTGTCAAATTTCAGCGCGATCCAAGCTGTGCGTCGCGCTCTTTGTTCCTGACACAAACATAATCGTCACCTCGCTCTCCCTTAAAAGTTTTAATCACATCTTTATTATTTCCGACAGGGTGTCCCTCGACTTCACTTACGCGCACACCTGCAGTCTCATCGTCTTCTTACCGCACTGATTCGCCACCCTCCATGTTTATACACCTGCCGGTGGGAGTATCAAATTGATCATTCACCTAAACAACGGTCGCTTCGAGCACCTATTCTTATTTCTTCAACTCTCGTAGCGCTTCCATCGGAATGCGCACCCATGGTGCGATTGCCTCATCTTCACAAGTTGATCACTGTAGAGTCTAGTTTCTCCGTCTGCTCAATTGTCTACCATGACAATCCATTCAGGCTTCGATCTGACTGTTTGCTTGGGCCAACTCGGGCAGATCAACACCACTGGTGTCATCCCCTCCTTATAACCCTAATCCCACGCAATCGCCACCCAACAGTGTCACTGACACCGCTCCTCCGTCAGCACATCTTCTCTTGTCTCCTGGTCGGCTTCGAGCTACAATAGGCACAATTACTCTGACACACGGCCAGGACACCAGTTCACTGTGCCATGATACATGACCCTGCATATATGTCAACACCAAGCGGTTGGGCCCTCGGGGTGTGACTTGATTGGGTCTCATCCCGGGTATCCAAGATCAGTGATGTGTCCCTGACTTCCTGTGCACCAACTACCACCATGTGCTTGGGAAACACTGTAGGATCATATCAAGTGGAACATACAATTGTGCTACTTTTCCCAGGTCCTGGCGCGACTGGAAAGCCCTTGCGCAGTGCCATAGATGAAGGGTATCGTACCCCCTTTATATCTCGGGCCGTGATACAGCAACCTCGGAGGCATACACACGGCTAGGCAGTTACGACATCTACTTTACACCAGGCCTGCTTGAGTAACGCATGGCAGATGGACCCTTTCAACAGATTCCCGTCAATCCATCACGTATGAAATCGGAGTACCTAGTTACGCATCAACCTCGCGATGCTATGCCATGCCATGCCATGCTACAGCCGCCGGAGATCTGGAAGCTCCAAGTGAGTGATTATCCATCCGACAGTATCGGATGCCGGCTCAGTTTGGCGATGACCAACGTATTTCTGGCTCACGTTCTTTTGTTAATAAAAAGACGAAGAGCCTGCACTAAGAACTACATTCTGCGTTGGGAAAAAATTGAGACAGTAGTCGGGACCCCCAATCGCATGGGAGAGACTTTGCCGCATCCGCTTTCGGGAAAGGCGTTTGGACCATGATTGTGATGGTCGCAGTCTAGTGCTGGCTGTGTGATAGCTTGGTTTCGGCCGAAACGATCTGCATGACTCTTGAGGCCGCAGACAAAGAAGGGGAATGCTTTGTTTTGTGCCAAAACTCCTTGGAAAGCAATGACCCCAGCCAATTGTTAGTTAGGCCTTGGTGTTCAGGAAAAAACACACAAAGGTCGTCAACCGACATCCAAGAACATCCCGAGGTCCCCATAAACAAATCCGCCGGGAATCTATGATATCGATCAGTACGTACTTGCGTTCGATATGTTATACAGTAGACATTCATCGCAGAGGGGCTTACTGTTGGAACTTGGGCTCAACCAATCAGACATCTAAATGTTTGATTCGGTACCTTATTTCCCGATATCTGGATGTCAAATACGTTGAGCCGTTCCAATCAATCAATTATATGACCCACGGACCTTGGCCGTCGCTAGTCATGCATAACAATCTACACCAGAGCCTCTCTTTGGCCGCTTCCCGCCTTCGATAGGACCAGTCACCACACGATTGAACCAGGACTAGCACAGTTGTCAACATATCCCGCTCAGGACGAGTAACCCCGATGGTCATACTTCATAGCCACGACAATACGACTTCTAAGGTTTTCGAAAACTTGTCCCGGTTCACCTCCGTACTCCAGTAGGTATCATCCGAAGGGATGGAATGGGGTCATGAGTATCGTGGGGTAAAATCCGGGGTTTGGCGGAGGCGGTGTCCACCAGTAAGACGGGTGTAACGTATTCAAAGGGATAAAGCCGTTGGTGTTGGTCATCGTCGGTCTTGGCTAACTTCTTTGAGCGTGGTTCTCCCGTGGTTACGCTTTTCAGTTTATTAGAGTCCTGATCAGTCCCTTGTGCTCCCGCCGCCCCTTTCTCTGATCAGCACGGCGAACTGCCGAAACGACTCGACTCTTGGATGACATGTCCCCCAACCCGTCGCTTTCACATTTGAAGTTGGAGAAAGAGACGAAAGCCTACAAGCGCACCTATCATGGCCCCGGACCGTCTCCGCATCCCCGCATCCCCGCACCCCGCAATTTTCGTCTTGCGGCCCTGCTTCCGGTCGGCTAACCATGCTCGAAGGCAGGATGGCTTGGACTCACATGCCCTTGATTGGAGGAACATCCAACTTCCTCTTCTGTCTCTCACAACGACAGTGACCGGCGACCAGCCGCCTTGGCTTGTCTTACAGTCTCACACAACCTTTCCACTGCCTTTTACCGCCGCCGTACTACTTGCTCCCTTCCTTCGGTCCAATCGAACCAATATCTTCTCGGCCCTACCAACGCCAGAACACAGCATGGACCCCACTTCCCCGGTTCCATTGCAGGCCAAACTCAACCCCCTTCCGGGGATGCTTGCATCCTTCGCGCGAGTGATGCAACATGAAAACGATTCCAGGCTGACGGTCCTCCTGGGATGAGGATTTGCTGGCTCTGTCTCGGGGAAAACATATGTATAAGGGGGACTCCCATTTCTCTCGGAGGATGGAAGAGACCAGCGTCTCTGTTCCAGGCTTTGTTTCTCTTCAACTCCTCGAGATATCCGTAGTCAGCGCAACTGCTGCGGCAAACAGTCAAGATGGGGCTCGGGCTTAAGCTACCGACAATCTACAATGTCCACCTTGTGGCTATCATTGCCACCTTGGGTGGTGCACTGTAAGTTTTATCCCAATCTTTCTTCTACCCAACTGGGCTGTCTGGTTACACACAAGAAAACAAAGGAAGAAATGACTAGATGGATGCTGACCACTCTTGATACTCCAGCTTCGGCTTTGATATCTCTTCCATGTCCGCCATCGTCGTAACCGACCAATACCTCACCTACTTCAACAACCCCCATGGTATCATCCAAGGAGCCATCGGCTCTGCCCTTGCCGCTGGCTCCGTCGTCGGTTCCGCCATCGCCGGTCCTCTTTCCGACAAGATCGGTCGTCGTGACTCCATCTTTTTCGCCTGCTTCTTCTGGCTCATTGGTACCTCCGTCCAGGTTGCCTGCAAGAACTATGGCCAGCTCATCGCCGGCCGTGTGCTCAACGGCTTTACCGTCGGCATCACTTCCTCCCAGGTCCCCGTCTACCTTGCCGAGATTGCCAAGGCAGAGAAGCGTGGTTCCCTGGTCATCATCCAGCAACTCGCCATCGAGTTCGGTATCTTGATCATGTACTTTATCGGCTACGGCTGTGCGTCGATCGAGGGCACTGCTTCGTTCCGGACCGCTTGGGGCATCCAGTTTATCCCTTGCTTCTTCCTCATGATTGGTCTTCCCTTCTTGCCTAGGTCACCCAGATGGCTGGCCAAGGTCGGTAGGGACCAGGAGGCCATTGCTGTCCTGGCTAACATCCAGGCTGATGGTAACGTTGATGACCCGAGAGTCGTTGCCGAGTGGGAGGAGATTGTCACCGTTATGAACGCCGAGCGTGAGGCCGGTAAGGGATGGAGGAAGTTCGTCAAGAACGGCATGTGGAAGCGCACTATGGCTGGTATGACTGTACAGGCTTGGCAGGTACGTTCTCTTGTTTCCCTTATCTCCCGTCCCACCGTCGTCACCAACCAGTTCACTAACATCCCCTCTCAACAGCAACTCGCTGGCGCCAACGTAATCGTCTACTACCTAACCTACATCGCCCAAATGGCTGGACTCACAGGCAACGTCGCCATGGTGACCTCGGGCATCCAATACGCCGTTTTCATCATCTTCACCGGCGTCATGTGGCTCTTCATCGACAAGACCGGCCGTCGCACCCTTTTGGTTTACGGCGCCTTGGGAATGGCTTTCTGCCACTTTGTCGTCGGCGGCGTCATGGGCGCGCACCACGACAACGTTCCGGAGGGAGTCGGCGGCAACGCCAACATTGTCATTAGCGTGCACAAGGGCGCGCCCGCTAACACGGTCATCCTGTTCTCGTACCTGCTCATTGTCGTCTACGCCTTGACGCTCGCTCCCGTCTGCTGGATCTACGCCGCCGAGGTCTGGTCGTTGGGCACTCGCGCTACGGGTATGTCCATGGCTGCCATGTCCAATTGGGTGTTCAACTTTGCGCTGGGCATGTTCACGCCGCCGGCGTTTGTCAATATTACGTGGAAGCTGTTTATCATTTTCGGGGTGCTTTGCGTCACGGCGGCGGTCTGGTTCTGGCTGTTTTACCCGGAGACGTGCGGTAAGACGCTGGAGGAGATTGAGATTCTGTTTGGTGATCAGGGTCCTAAGCCGTGGAAGACGAAGAAGGGCGAGTCGAGACTTACGGCGGAGATTGAGGCTGTCAAGGCGAGGAAGACGGTGGAGCACGAGATTGAAGTGCATGAGCATGAGAAGGTTTAGAGTGTGAAGGAGTCTGCGAGGTGCGGTGATGAGGAAGTGTTTGAGAGTGAGGTGGGGAGAACAAGTGTCAGTGCGGTTAGTTTTTTGTTAGTTAGCAAGATACCCGGAGCAGAATTATGATTATTGAGCATAAATCCACCAGTGTTTTGTCATTAACTCGTTTATTGTTGATCAGTGACTTCCTTGCTTTACTACGCATACATTTGCTTCCAGAAGTCTCATAATGGCGTCCATCTCCCGCCCCCCATCCACAAGTCCTTTTATTCCTATGTCCTCTGCTAGTTGTTTGCAATCTTGTCGTTATAATAGTGCATCTATTCCATCTGTTAGCCCAGCCCACTCGCGTCTCACACTACCACCATTACCATCACCGATTGAGAGAATATCAGGGTCAAAAAGAACTAAATAAGTATAAAAAATCAAGAAACAAAAGAAAAGAAGGAGGAAAAAAAAACCTACCGTCTGATCCGCACACCCGCTCGGCGTCTGATACCCATAAGCCCCCGTATTCACAAACAGCGCCCCCTGATCCTTTTTACTACACACCAACCAAGCCGCCACATTCTGCCTCTTGATGCTCGGTACACTCCACGTCAGCGTGTCCCCCTGCCACGCAAACGTACCAAAGGGGTTTCTAGTGGTATTGAACCACGTTGCCAGCGTCCTTGGCGGCGATGAGTTGGTCGGCGGTTCCTCCACCCACAGGTATAGAGGCGGACTGGACACTTTGTTGACTAGCTGCCCGTCGACAATATTGAATTGGCCTGCTGTGGTGTGGGAGTCGAGAATGGCGGGGCCGGGAAGGTTGGCGGGTTTGGTTTGGAGGTATTTGTGGTAGTTGGGCGGGACGACGGCGCGGATCCAGTAGGCGCCGGGTTGTAAGGTCGTTGGGGTGGGGATGGAGGATGTTATGGGTGGAGGAGTGTTTTGGGGCAAGGGGGAGGAGGTGGTTAGAGTGGTGAGGCTGGCGAGGAGGAGAGCAGTAGTAAGGAAGAGAGGGGAGAACATTTTGGCGGTTGTAGAATTGGACTTTACTCTTCTTGATTGATGGACGGGTAGCGGTGAATATAATGGAAAGATGTCGATTGTGCGATGCAGACAGTTCTGTGGCTCGCCTGAGGAGAATTAAAGCTTCTCATTGCGATGCTTTTAATGTCTGACAATATCTGCTCATGACTGACTTTTCACAGCGCGGATGAAAACCTATATTGTTCCGAAGTCAATGAGGGATAGGGCCCTTCCAGCAATCCATCTGCCGGTCATTTATTGGTTATCCTAGATTATCCTGATATTTTATTTTAGCCTTTCCACATTATACCGTTGTCAATAACCGGAGGATGGGCGAACTCGCACCTGAGGATTTCTGGTTCTCCGAGAAGCGGCAACCTAAGCAGTAAAACGCAAAGCAGCTAGAGCGGTTACCATTGATATCACTCTTACAGTCAAGGGAAATTACTTGGTTATGATGGTTATTACTACAACTTGCAGTGTAAGAAAGAACGATGGAGTAGTTGCACTTACGTTCCTTCTTGGCTATCCGGCCGGCTTGCCGTGTTGAAGCGCACCAAACCGGAAGTTGCAAACTATCAATGGACTGACACTACAGTCCCATCACCCACTCCGCATGGAAGGTTTTGTCGTCCCCCGGCCTTCTAGATTGCTCATCAGCTGCGTCCACTTCCCTTCTGTTCACTGGTCCTTCATTCGTGCAATGATACGAAACGTACATAAGCTGTATTGAGTGCCGTGAACCTCAATTCGATCTCATACCGCACGGCGGCTGAAGTAGAGCGGAATGGATGTCTCCGGTTAAACTGAGTGCACTGCAGTGGTCACAGTTGGAGGCAGGGGTTGACTTGGGTAACGGTGACACTCATGTTTCTGTTTCCTATATAGGGTTGGAAAAATTAAGACCAGTGATCGAGACCTTCGGCTGTTTTGATCTGGATCAACACATTTTTGCCTTTTCTCTCGAACTTCACTGATTGAATCATCTAGCCCAGTGTCTGAGAGTGTCCTTCAATAGGATTAGTCACCTTGAAATGAATTTGGCACGACTTTTGAGGGCCCCGACTACATGGTGACGATGAGACCATATGGGTTTATCACTTGAACGGTAGAAAGCAGCCTATTTGCTGTTGACTTTCTCTTAAGTGTTTCAAGGTAGTGATGAAAGCATGGCAGCAGCAACGCATTCCGTTACCACACTAGATATAAACATTACTGACTCAACCTTCAGTTAGCGTGACTTCAACATGTGAATAAGCAACGGACAGGCCTCCACCTCCTCCGCCTCTTGATACCAGCCGATATCCTGTAGGTTGAGGATTGGACTTTGTCATGGTTCCGTTGCGAACCCTTCCTTTCCTTCGACTCGAACGCTCCCACAGTCGGAGATGGTGCGTAAGAGACAACTCATCTTCTATGGGTACTAATGAAAGGGTAGAGGTAGTGCAAAAGTTCAGTGCAATGTGAGAAAGTGTTTGTGTGGTTGAAAGAAGGAAGGAAGGAAGTCTCAAATTGATTTCCTTGTGGCAGAGAATCCCGCAACATGCGCACGATCCCCCATCTATGTCCGGGTACGTTCACTAAGTTAGTTCACGACTTCCTCAGGATCGGAAACAAAAATACAAATTGTGAGCATTCAATTCGGAACTGATATATCAGAAAACCTCTAATTTCACTGGTATATCCGAGGAATCTCACGATCACCACAGGATTATCTCATTGACCTCTATGACCTTTTTAATTGTGATGTCGGCTATGTTCACGAACCGCACTAACAGACTATCTGTAGATTTGTTATTCATAGCGCATGACAACCCCCATATCCAAACGCCGACGCTCCATATATCCTGCAACCCAAAAGAAAATGACAACAAAAAAACACCAACGACATCAAACCATGAACATGCTCCAAATGAATGCCCCACACAATCAACAGTACCCCAAAGGTGTAACACCCAGCCTAAATGGCCTCTGCGCTTTCTTGATCCTCTCCAAATCCGGCTTCCACACCCCCTTCGTCCGTTCACTAAGCAACTTCAGCCCCGTCCCCTCCGTTAACCGATGAAAGACCTCATGCTCCTCGGGCTGTACGCTCTTGAAGAACAGAGGCTCCCACACTATCCCCCTCTCCTTCTCCTCAACCCTCATCCTCCTCTGCGCCTGCTCGATCCTCGTCTTCTCATTCAACACCATGCGCATATCCCCCTCCGCCATGCCCCTAAACACGCCCTCCCATGCCCTCCTCGACTCCCACGGGTCCTGCTCGGCCAGTGAATCAACCACAATCGGCACCGGTTGGTTCTCGGGCGCATCAATATCATACACCTCCACCGTCTCGCCCATGCGCGGATCGCGCACCGTCCACCCTCCTTCGCTCCAGCACCCCTTGATTTCATACAGCGTCTGTTTCGAGGGATCATCTCTATGAAACACCCGCGCTTCAAACGAGTTGCGCTTCCCCCGAATCATGCCCTCGCCCGTGAACCGGACCTCGGCCTGGTATCCGCTGCTGCCGATAATGGAATACGTGCCCAGCACCTCCGGGTACATGCACCCGGACAGGATGCCGCGGACTTTGGCGTCCAGCAGCGGAATCAAGTAATCCTCGTCAAACCGATCGATATGCAGCACGGCGTTGCCGACCTGGCGGATGTTGACGGTGCCATTGAACGTCATTTCGACGCGCGCGTACCCCGTCGAGCGGATGCCGTGCTCGGCGTCGCTGACGTGCATGGCGGTGATGGGCGGGTGGTGGCTGACTTGCTCCGAGACGAGCGTGGTGTTGCATTTCTTCTCGGCGTCGGTCCAGGACGCCAAGAAGAGCTCGCCCAAGAAGGCGTTGAGCGGTTTGCGGATGCTGCTGCTCTTGGAACCGGTAGAGCCGATGTAGAGCTGGCTGCGCAAGGCGATGAGGAACCAGCGCAGGACGAGGAGCATGCGCTTTTCGGGGTCGGACTCGAGCGAGGGCGCGGCGAAGACGGAGGGCCGTTGGGCCCAGCAGTGGCCTACTTCGACGACGGAGGACGGGGCCAGGAGGTGCGGCGGGCCGGTGATGTTGGAGAGGTCGCCTTTGACTGTTGATAGAAACTGGAGTGAAGAAAGGTGTGTTAGTGATGATGAGGCCTTGAAGCGAACAGTGCTAGCAGGCAGGTGGGTGGATGGGAAGAAGTGGAGGAATGCGTACCTTGGCGAGGTCTCGTACTCGAGACGAAACTGATTTGTGATCCATGGCGAAGAATTGAAGTTTTGAGGGTAGGTTGATTACTAGGCGTTATGGTGCGCAGCACAAAGGAATTGTTAGGTTCGATGGGGTTTATATTAAATCAAGTGATCGGCTCGTCGTTGACGTGTTGTATTCTTCTTCCACTTGGGCCTGCCAAGAGTGAGTGTCGCCTGCGCTTGTCAAGTGATCTTGATCGCTTAGCCCCGATCTTATTGTGCTTGTTGATTGCTAAAGTATCGGTTGGCGGAAACGGTACAGTGTGGACGAATTAATGTCCAAAGAATGGTGCTATGAGTTGATGTCGTCTTCGTTCAGTTGCTGGTGATTCGCCAAGACAGCATGTGTTAAGTGATGTGCAAGTCGATCTTGGCAGCTATTCCCGATTTTTGTGTAAGTGCGGGTGGTGATGCATCGACGTTGGTGCGAAAATCGAAGGAGTCAGTTGCTCAGCAGGATGCAGAGAAACAACACACCAAAAACAACAGAACTAAAAAGAAACAAGTGCTGTGTTTATTGTAAAGACACGTTTGTCGAACAAGAATCAGTTCGGAAGGAATTTCAACGCAGAATTATATCTAGGTTGGTAACTTTTATGCCTTGGCGACTCGTGGCTAAGGGGGATCAGATCGAGCTTGTTTCACATCTGTCGCGACATCTGTCGCAGCTCGGACACACGATAAGGAATTCCGTTGTACCTCGAGAGACTTTTAAAGAGATTGGGATCCCTAGCCAACTAGTTCAATATCTAAGCGTTTCGTCTTTTGCGTTGTCGTTTATACACTACAGTAGGGTGCGTAACGATCATCCAAAGTCTATGACTTATCCAAACAGTGACAACGATCCGACATCTACATAGAGGTATGTACTGTACCTAGGCATATTGCCTTCAGCATGACACAACCGTCGGCACATCGCTAATTCTCCTTCTCTTTGTACTATGCGTTGTGGCATTTTGACAGGTGCCCGAACGTGTTTCGGAAACCTTTTGCGACCTCCCGGATCGTGGGAATTCCGGGCGCATCGTGCAGATGTTTTGGTTGCTGATAAGATACACTGCATCCATGCATGCATCACTGATATGAGTGCCGCATGGGCTCTCGCTTGCGTGGTGGTGGCCTGTATGACATGAGAGAAGCGCCTCGGGTGACTTTGTGAAGAATGAAAAAGGGCTTAAGATGCACTCACCGTATTCTGAAGCGATTCCTTTTACCACTTCATCAATTATTTTTTCCTTTCTTTCTGGCTATTTTGAACCCCCGGCGAACAACCCCCAAGAGGTATTCGGTACGCTGGCTTAGTTGTGCCGGTCCGGGCGTGATACATACGCCGTCATCCATCCAGAGCGAGATCTTTCCGGAATTGACGTCATCAAGGTTGGACCCTGACACCCCCAAAAGCTTGAACCATTTAAGCCCCTGAACGCTAGGAACTACACCATGCGACAAGTTGAGTTGCTGCGCCTCAGGGGCAGAGGAAAAACACCCGAGCACAACTTGAAGCTCGACAAACCTCGAGGAAACGGAACACGGGAGTTTAACGCTGAAACAACAGCTTCACCATGTCGTGGGTGGGGAAGTCGACCAAAGTAGGGAGCCCCCATGGCACAAGAAACGAGTTTTGTTTTTGTTCGTACTCTGGTTATTCCGAGGATCCAAAGGCAACTTTGTTCGATTCACCAGCCACCATCCGGATGCTCCGGGACCTGTCGTTGTTTGCGTTCATAAAGTCGACTAGCTGTGGTTTCTGATGGTGCCCATCTCGCTAATCGTGTTGGTTCAATCTCATCCCCAACCGCCCGCCGGCCCGCTTGCCTGCCCGGGGCCGCATATCGAATAACCACTCAGATCATCTAACCCAAAATAAAAGAAATGATTCGGCACTGTCATCACTGCTCGGTGTTCTCGAAGTGGAAGAAAAACCAAAAAAAAAGAAGATGTTGTTGAACATCGGGAATTGAGCCCGACGTGGGGGTCGAACCCACAACCTTGAGATTAAGAGTCTCACGCTCTACCGATTGAGCTAGCCGGGCAGCTGCGAGCTGCCATTGGATGTTGAAATCCTGCCCAGTCGTACTCCTTAAGAATCATAAGCAGCCTCAGTCGGTTCTACTTGGATGTCAATTAAACAACACGATTGGACCTTGGAAGATGATTAGTATGATTATGAACAACTGAAGTTAGTCATTCCAACTATCTTTTGATTATCGTCATTACAATGCAGATGTGTCCGATAATGCGCTATATCCGCTTGTGCTATCCGCTGTCCCGATGGTAAGAGTAACCCCCCAAAAGCACCATAACGCCCTCTATCCCTCTTATCCATGATCTCCCAAGTCCAAGCCAAGTATTACACATTCGAAAAAATCTTCCTCATGCCCAGGTTATCCCAATCCGATATTGTTATAAGCGGACTTCTTCCTTACTTGAGCAAGTACATCTTTATGACCCTCGTGATCCACATTGTTATGCAACTGCTGCGGACCGAGTTCCCACACCCATTCTTTTCGAAGGTCGCTCTATAATTACCAGTTGCTTGGTACCTCCACATTGTAAAGCATACCCGACGTCGAGGACAAATCAACCATGATGGTCGATACCCTCTAAGTGCAACATCCGAGGAATGTTGTGCATGTGCTTGCGCGCCTCCGCACACGAGAAGCGCACCTCCGCACCCGAGAAATGCGTGTGTGGAGTGACGGCCACTTAAAGCCAGCTTGACGCAGGTCATGGGGCGATGGCCGCTATAATTCAAATATGATGCTGTTTTTTTTTGTTTTTTTCTTCGAATGTGCCCATTTAGCTAGAGAGGTTCGGCCACTGGATCTTGTCGCAGACCTTCTCCCTTTCGGTCCACTCCTTGATCTTTTCAACATCCCAACCACTGATGCTTTGCTTGGCCCCTTCTTTCTTCGGTACCGGCTTGCCCAGAATGAAGGACCTATGCATGGCACACTTTCCATCCTCGTACTTGTATTGCACGCAGTCATCGGGAGGCAAGCTCTTGCACGCCGCTTCGCAGTCGGAGGCTGATCGGTGGGCGACCTTTTCGAGCTCGTTGTATTCGTTCGCCGGCTTCATGCGATGGAGGGTGCCCTCGTCCCATTGTTTTGCGGAAATGTCGACATAGAAACGGTCGTCGGACTTGTTATCCCAGTCAAGCTGCTCGCGCTTGAGCTTGGGTTCGAGATATTCGTGATAGATGTCCTTGATGAGAAGGGGTCGCGGCTTTCCGGATGCAATTTGCTCTCTGCGGAAGCGGCGCTCGAACTCCCAAAACGTGTTGATCTCTTCGCTATTCATGTGGTGCATCGTCACGATTGGGTGGCACCAATGCCAGGGACCAAACGGAAGCGTTGCGGGCTTCTCGCCGTTGATGGTCGGCCACTGTGAAACACCTTGGTTAGTACATTGAATCTATTCTCAATTCGTGCGCACAGAGAAACTCACCATTTGTTCGACAGAGACATCAGCGTTATCTTTGAGCGCCAAGGCAAAAACGTAGTCTCCGCAGCATTCACGCTTTGCGCGCAAGTCGTACTTTTGTCCCACGCCCGGATTCTCGTCGACGAGCGCCTTCATCGACGCCTTGCTGACGATATAGCCCGACCCGCCATGACCGAATCTGAAGCCCTGGATCAAGGTGACACTGCCAAGGTAGTGCTTCTTGTTCGGGTTCAGTTTGCCTAGCCAGTGTACCAGGTTGGGCCACAGGACATATGTGTCGGCGTCTACAAAGACGTACCAGTCGTAGCCTGGGCGCATCTTATACGTCTGCTCCGCCATGTGGACATTTTTATACTTGTCGAGATTCCAGCCTTCGGTCGCGGGGTTGCCCTGCTTGTTGCAGCCCTCGACATCAACAGGGCACGCCTTTTGGCGACGGTACAGGTCAAAGTCCGAGTTCCCCTCCATGGCCTCGGCTGACACGTTGGACAAGCTGTCGTACACCGGGTATCCACCAATCTTCTGTTCCATGTCGCTAAAGATGAGGAAGTCGGGTACACATTTGAGCACCGTCATAAGTTGAGTGGGCACGCGGTTGAAGGATTCCGACGCGCCCGTCTTCATGATAACCAGAATGTTGTCGGGAATCGGGTAACCGGCGCAGTCTGGGTTCTCGGAGGGATGTGGCCTGGGGCCAGGACCATTGTGTCCCGGCGGTGGGGGAGGGTGGTGACCATGGCCACCAGACTGGTAGAGAGGGTCGTCAATGGCAGTCCAGCCGCCAAGACGCCTCGAGGTGGCCAGAAGAAGAAGCAGACTGAAAGCCGCACATAGGGCGATGGTGATGGATTTGCGCGTGAACATCCTGGGCAGCGTGGGGATGAAGCAGAGGTTGTCTTGGCCACGACGGGGCGTCTTGATCATTTGAAGGGAAACAGATCAGGTCGCGGGCGCAGAAAAGAAAGATTCAGTCGCGATCAAGAGAGAGTGCAGACGTCATGCCACTCTCGAGTTCCCCATGGAGCTGAATGATCCACCAGGTTCGACGATCGCCTGGAGAATCACGAAGAGGTGGGTGGAGGTGTATCTTTAGTGCCTTGAGTGGAGGGCAGCAGGGGCGGCGAGTGGAATCGGGATCAAGTCAGTCTCCTGTGATCGCGTAAGCCGGGGATCCCTCCAGGTGGGCTCGGCAAGGTTCAAACCTCAGCGCCGGACTCGCGGAATGCAGGGTTGGTTGCAGGGCGGCTAAAATAAGGAATGGAGAAGCGTGGGAAAAGGTGGCAGGGTAGACGCTAGACAGGGCTGAAAGAGGAATTAATGAGCGACTAGAGATACCAAATACGAGCCCACCATACCGGGACCCGTTCCTGAGTGGTAGCATGGAAAAGTTGGGGATATCAATGGCTCAAAGACACCAGCTAAACGGATGGAAAGAAAAAAAGGAAAAAAATGGGAAGTCCAATGTTGGGGGCTTTCATGCCGCCATGTTGCTTGTTCGAGATGGCAAACCAAACAAATGTCAATCGGTAAGGTACCTAGGTATCTACCTCAGGTAGGTGAAGCAGACTCGCAGGTAGAAGGACCTGCAACGCAGGAGGAGGAGGCAAAGGAGGGAGGGGAGGGAGGGGCGGTGTCGACTCGAAAGGGCTCTGACATGTCATGTCTCTGATCGGAGGTTGAATGGAGCACACGGTAGAGTAAATGAAATAAGCTGTTTTTGTTCTGTCTCATCGCATTGGGTCGTGGTATGGTGGCTCTTCCCTGCTAGAGCCTGAACGGGAAACCCAGGGTAAGCACAGGACGCCATGAGATGGGATGAGTCGTCCTAATCGAACCGACACGCCGGAATACGTCTTGGTCTGTGGAAAAAATGCGCAGGCTTGGGATGCATAAATCGACCGTGACATACCTACTCGGAGATACTTGGTTCTACAATACTAGTACCTATCGTGTTCTGGTCAATCTGTTGAGAAACTGTAGTGAAGGGAACAACTGAAGATGAAATCCCAGCATCGGCTGGCGTGGGATTAAGCCGAGGTACCTCTCCTACTAATGCCGCAGCATTGCCAATCAAGGCATGGGCAGCAATGTGGCTGCCGTTTACTGCTATGATTCGCATGCAATCGCCAGATACTTGGATGATCCCCTCTCGATCCACTAAAATTCCCGGGCAGACTCTCAGGGGAAAGCAAGGCAAGAATGAAGATCCCGAGGCCGTTTTAAACCGAGTGCTTGTTTCAGGACGAATGTAACTGTTGATCGTGTTGATGCTCATCAATTCGATGTTACACTCTTCATTTAGAATGACAATTGCGCGATAAACCAACCTGACGATATTCAGGGAGCTCATATTCCATCCTCTTCGTCCCTTCTCTCTTTTGGAGATTGCCCTGCCCTGGTGCAATGGAGATGGATGTTCTAACGCAGATGCAACCGTTCCTCGGCAGGCCCAGGGTCCACACCCACCCCGCGGCCACTCCTGCCAAGCAAGCCGCCAAGCTGTCAGACATCCGTGGGTTTCTTTTCCATTTCAGGAACGACTCTAGAACTTGGTATCCATATCGTATTCCGAGACAACTACATCTACGAGTCCAGAAGAGCATGATAAGAGGTATTGAGACATACTCTTCAACTTGAGACAAACATGATGCCTTGATCAATGCTTTGCGTTATGTGAGTGTCTTCCAGCTTCAATTTCCACATCAGACTTTTGTGAGGGGATATCCCTGCAATTGGCCAAAGCCGGAGAAGGTCTGGACTGCACCAAAAAGGGGGCACATATGCGCCATCATTTTGATGGTGTCACGTGGCTGCTTCCATCCATCACACAACCACAGGACGCTATCTAGGCCTAGTCCAGTCAGAGTTCGATGCCATCCTGACAAGAATACATACATAGTAGGTAGGTATGTACGAGCGGTAGAAGCACAACGGTCAACAAGTTTCCACTCACATCAGCGAGGTTCATCGCCATAAAAACCTGTCGTCTGCAAGGAGGGCTCGGGAGGCCGTGTCAACAACCTCCAAAGACAAAGGCGGGCGCTAAGCTGCATCAAGTTGGATACCAACCCAACTTCATGACCACCGCCGCCGCCATGCTTTTGAGATCGATGTTGGAGCGGCTTGGCCAGGCAGCCACATCTCCCGTCGAGACAGTGAGGAACCAACTGATTGGAAGAGGCCCGTGCTAGGTACCTAACCGAACCCGTTAGTGGGCAGCCTAGACCGTCATGGCCCCAAGCTTCAGGGCAACGCTAGTGACGCTGGGCAACTCTAAAATCCCACACCCCAACGACACTTCTTGGCTTCATCCGGCGACCATGATGAGGATGTGATCCATGAAAGGGTCTTCCTAACCTGTTTTCTATGCTGTGCAGAAAATGGTTTCCAAAGAGTTAGAGGGTTTGGGCGAAGATTGTCCTTTGTTGTATCGTCGAAGCAGCATTTGCAGAATGACCGACAGTCCCTGATGCGCCAGCTAACAACATCCCAACAGTAATGGCAACGAGGACGGCGACAAAATAGAAGAACATGAATCGACATTACATATCACCACCACAATTACACTACAAGCAATAGCTGAGCAGCGTCGAGATCCCATTCCACCCATGTAGGCCCGGTCTTGGGTCATCGAACTACCGATCTAGATGGCGGTTACAACACCCGTTAAGACAAGGGCAACTATCAAAGCCCACATAAACTTTCCCCTGCCCATTCCTGCATTCTTCGCGGCTATCCAATTCGTAGTGTTCGGCGCCTTAACGCAAGACAGCCAGCCAGCGCTATCATGAACCTCACCGCTAGAAGAGAAGTGTGTCCACGTTATCACCACCGGCCATACCACGCGCTCCATAGCCACAAGCGCCGAGGCGTTGTCTTTGCCAGCTGGAGCCGAAGCCCCCGCAAAGAAGGAATACCGTCGATTGCTTTGATCAAAGTTGCTGCTATCGATCTCTTGAAGAAGAAGAAGAAGTCATCATGTTAGCACAAAATCAGCATCTAGTCCAAGGTATATATCTCGACACCACCAGGTCCACGCCAGTGGACATCAACACATCAACCCAAGGTGGAAAACTCACCATACCCAACCCCAATCGTCCCCCCGAAATACTCCAAACACGCATCAGGAACCGCCAAACTCCCACACGCCCCTAGATCATCCTTGTCCTTCCCAGTGTTATTCGCCACGCTATTAATCTGTAGCCCTTGAATACACTCACTCGGCAGCAACGCCGCACAAGTGCCGTCCAACCTCGCGGTCTGCGCCGTCTCCGTCGTCTCGTCCGATAGACCCCCGGTAAACACGATGGCGCACACCCTCCAGCTTTCGGCGTCTAGTCCTTCCTGTCGGTGGGTAGAAGGAGGCACAAGCGACAGGACTGCCGCCTCGGTGAATTTGCTCTTCTTGTCTTTTGCCGATATGGAGGAGGAGGAGGTGTCGGATGCGTTGGTCAAGGGTATGTTGGCTGCCACGCTGATGGAGAGATACCACCCGGGAACTTCACTGCCAGTGGCGTCGGCGGGGCCGGCGGGGATGGAGGTGTTGTAGCCCGTGGTTGGGAATGAGGCGTTGGAGACGGGGTGGGCGATGGCGAGGGCGAAGTCGGAGGGCGGGAGGCCGAAGGGGGGGTTGGAGGGGGAGCCGATGGTGAGGGTCAATTGGGCTGATGATGATGATGATGATGCCACAGCCATGGAGACGTGGAAAACAAGGCTAAGGCTGAAGTTTAAGAGGTTCCTAGTGGCCATTTTGTGCAAGACAGAGTTCGTGATCTTAGGTGTTCGTTGACATTTTCTCTGCAAGGAAATTGTCCTGGTGGGGACAGGGCAGATTGAGGAGGTGCCTCTAGGTATACACGAACGTGAGAAAGAGGAAATGCAAGGCGCGCGCAACCAAGCAAGCTTCCATAAGCTCCGTCGTGCCTGCTAGAAGCATACCTGCTGCATCCCCAAGGCAGCTCACTTCACTTGTTCCCATACTAGACCAATGACATGGACCCAAATGCAATCATTTTTGATGTTCGATGACAGAACCCGTCCATCCATGGGGTAAAAAAAAGGGGGCGGGCTTTCTAGAACGGAACTTTGAAACGGGGGGGTTGATAGATGCGAATGACAGTAATCCCACCTACGAGCAACTTCTCAAATGTTCCCAAGGCCAGGAGGCTTGAGTGATGACTGGAGTAAGTTACCAAAGATGATGCGGGGCCAAGCCAGTGCTCGGTACAGCTCCGTATTCCGGGCTCCATATCCTCCGATCTCCGCGCCGCCATCCGGGCCGAGTGCAAATCCCATGTCCCGGTTTCAGGCTCCGTTTGTTCGAACTCGGGCTCGATCGTCGGAATACCTTCGACTTTGTTTTTTCTTGCTGTCTGAGTACGAGTTTAATAACGCAAGCCAAGAAACATGTTTGACCAGATGTCGATGTGGTCTAATCTCAGTCCAACCAGACCGATTAGAAAAAGCTAGTTAGCGGTTTACACTTTTGGAAAAGCCACCATTACTTACTTATGCACAGTCTCTTTTTATATACTGTGAGAGTTGGGACACTCCGAAAGTTGAAAGATGAATGACATCGCTGATCCGGTAGGTAGGTACCACAACGCAACGGAAGATACTTGACAAATAATTTCTTCAGATAGCTCCTATTCCTGTCTTGTCTCTGGTTTCTCTATTCATCTTCTCGATGTCATGTGCTGTACATATTTTCCCTTGTGTCATCACTCGGCGTATGTTTGGTGCTCCAGCCGTACGTACGCTAGGTGAACAAGAGTAACAGAGCTAGCGGGGATTGGAGGTATTTGTAAAAGTAGGGCAAATTCTCTCACAAAATGTATCAATAACCAACCAGCGCCAGTGGTTTAGTGGT